AGTCATGGATTTAGGCAACGAAATAGTGTTTAGATATGCTAGACCAGAACTGTACTCAGATTCCGAATCGTCGCAGGAGAAAATGGTAGAAGGAGTTGCTGAATCAGAGACGGGTAATAATCAGATAGTGTTGTGGAGGGGAACTGAGGATGAGGCTGAGGAGGAGGAGAATCAGCCATTGCCACCCGTGAGAATGTTCTTCGAGCCCATTCAGTATCATAATGCAATAAAGCTGGGAACAAGATGTTATATCCACAAAGCTGTTGCGAAATTGGAGTCCCTAGACCTTGAACCACATGAGCTGTTATGGTTTACAGAATACCCACAGTTCAAGCACTTTTGGCATATGCATAGGGCCATGCATGAGGACACAACACACAAGATGATGGGAATGTGGTTGCTTCTTCTTTGGACAGCAAACACAAATAAAAAGAGGGAAGCTTGGTTTGTAGTGAATGGCGTACCAATTCGCTATTCCCTTAGAGAGCATGCCATTTTCTGTGGATTAAACTGTCTCCCGTACCCAGAGGACTATGAGAGCATAGGAAGTTCTTCGTTTAAGAATAGATATTTCCAGGAAACCGTCCCTTCCCTTGCTGCTGTTGAGAAAAAGCTAGAGTCGATGCGAGGACTAGTTAATCCTGATCGGTTGAAGATGTGTGTCATCTACTTCTTAACCTCTATAATTAGTGGGAAAACAAAAACCGGTAAGGGAGCACCATCTGTTGACCCCTTATTCCTGAGGATTGTGGATGATCTCGAGGCTTGTAAAAGGTTTCCTTGGGGTAGGTATTCATTCGATGTGAATATGAAGGAGATTGAACACACAATGAGGCATTTCAATGGGGTCGTCGGAACAGATGCGTGGACATTTCTAAGCTTTGTTACTCCCTTGGAGGTATGTCACATTATAAAGAATTTGTAACCACATGTAATCCTGAAAATCGAAAATATGTAATACTCGGTATCATTTGGTGTAACCACATGTAATCCCGAAAACCAAAAATATGTAATACTCAGTATCATTTGGTGTAACATGTTTATCGGATAATCGAAAATATGTAATACTCGGTATCATTTGGTGTAACCACATGTAATCCCGAAAATCGAAAATATGTAATACTTGGTATCATTTGGTGTAACCATATGATTTTTTTCGGAAAATTGAGTAAGTCTTGAGTACAACCATGAATCGTAACTACTTGAACAGGTAGATAGTTAAAGAAACCGAGGCCACAGCAAGAACAGATAGAACAACCATGTCCTTAACTTCCTATAATATCTTAGTTCGTCGCGTCTGTTCCAATTCCCTATCCATTTCTTTGAAAACCAAGTCACAAACCATCTCATAAAGGAGAGCATGAGACCTCCTTGCCTCAACCATTTCCTCCTTCAGGTTGTTTACCGATTCCTATAGCTGGGAAATCTCCGTCCAGTGAATCCGGTTCATGGTTCTAGTCTAACCACTCCGGCCTTGCATCTCGGTCAAATCATGCCGAACATTTGCAATCTCTTCTAGCATCGCCTCATCACACCACTTGAAGAGATGACATCCGGGATTCTACAAGACACAAACCGTATAAATATTTTTGGTACGAAATTAAAAGCAATCAACAGCTGAACTTACGTATTCCTTATTGCAAGCGAAGAATCTTCGTCCCAGATCAAAAACGGTGAAGGAAGTTTTGATGATTGGTTTACGATGACAATAACAAAATCGCGGGATTCGAGAATCTTCGTACAATTCGGGTGGAGGGCTCCCACTTGAAATCTCCGAGTCGGACGACGAGCCAAGACTTGGCATTCTTGCAAGAAATTGTTTATTTGCAAACAACTGAGTGTTTTGTGTTTTGGTTGTGATTTGTGTGTAAACCCAGATATTTTAATGAATTTTGATGTTGGGGGAAACTCAAATTTGGAAGTGTCTGTTTTTTGGGGGGGGGGGAACTCAAAATTGGAAATCTACGTTTTGGGCGGGAAAAACAAATTTGAGTTTCGTGGATAAACCTGAGAAATAATAAATAATTGTAGTGGAGTCTATTTGTTCCACCCAATAAGACACGTGTTCAAGTGAAAACACATGTCGTTTATTGTAACTGGGAATTTAAAACGTAGTTGTGCCTTGTTTTCCAGTTATACACATCGTCATCATAGTGTTACTTTTGGTAGATATACCATATTCACAGTTATACTGAAATTTCACGACTGTATTCCGGTAATACGTTTCATAATTGGTTATAACAGCAAATTATCAACTTATTTATCAAACAAAATTTGAGGAAAAGTATGATACGTATTCTTTCCATCATTGATGACCTAAGCTTGACAATGTGACTATAGAAGGAGATTGACACTTAAGTGTCGGGTGTGGTGAGATTCGTATTATTTCTTCATTATTTTTAGTTGTTTAAAACACTGTTTACTAGTCCCTGATAAGTGTTAGCATGAAAACGACCATTTTTAAAAATACTGACTATTATCGTGGTCGTATTTTGCTGTCTCCAAATTATGAAATCGGTTTAAATTCGTCTATTAGTGGTTAAGGGTTAGTTAACTTCTTCAAAACGACGTCACCTGGAAACGAGTCTCCTTTAATCTTATTTCCTATTATTATATTTAATAATATTCTACCTGACACATAGATACGTGTTCAGCTAAAGAACACCTGTCGTAGCTCACGTGTGGCTGACATAATTTATTTTAATATGGACACATATCGTTTATTGTAACTGGGAATTTAAAACGCAGGCATGCCTTGTTTTCCAGTTATACACATCGTCCACATAATGTTACTTTTGGTGGATATACCGTATTCACAGTAATACTAAAATTTCAAGACTATATTCCGGTAATACGTTTCATAATTGGTTATAACAGCAAATTATCAACTTGTTCATCAAACAAAATTCGAAGAAAAGTATGATACGTATTTTTTCCATCATTGATGGCCTAAGCTTGACAATGTGACAATAGAAGGAGATTGAAACTTACGTGTCGAGTGTGGTGAGATTCGTATTATTTCTTCATTATTTTTAGTTGTTTAAAACACTGTTTACTAGTCCCTGATAAGTGTTAGCATGAAAACGATCATATTTTAAAATACATATTATTATGTGGTCATATTTTGCCATCTCCAAATTATGAAGTCGGTTTAAATTAGTCTATTGGTGGTTAAGGGTTGGTTAACTTCTTCAAAACGACGTCACCTGGAAACGAGTCTCTTTTCATCTTATTTCTTATTATTATAATATTAATCTACCTGACACATGATCACCTTTCTCTTCTTCCGTCGAACATTCTATCGTGTTTTTAACTTTTACACGACATTCTCTGCCCTAAAAGTACTACTTTCACTTTTCTTTTTCACAACTTTTTCACTCTTGCTTCTCCTCCCCAGTTCACAATTATTTGTGGTCAGAACAACAAATGAGTATAACTAGAGCGTAGTTATACCAGGTTTTCCTGACCAAACTAGAGCGTTTATATTAATTGGGTTTGTTGAACATCGTTGTACTAATAATTCTAGTTATACTCATCATCCACGTAGTTTTTTCTTCTTTATCTCCCTTTTACTTTGTTTTTACTATTCCCCTTTCCTGACGAACATTCTCTGACTTTTTGAGAATAACTCATATTATATCCTCTTGATACGAGGTATTTTTACTCTTTACATACACGAGAAAGAGAACTTTGAACGAGAAAGAGAACTTTGAACTTTGAACAAAAGACTAAGGAGAGAATTCAAGAGAAAACAATACGCTGTTTTACAAAGTTATACGAGTAATACTTAAATAAAACAAAAACAAATTTTCACTCTGATGGATCAGGTTGGCCACTCTTTCACGAAGCGATTTCTAATATCCAACTGGAATTTTGCCACCTCCATTGTCTAATTGCAAGAATCGCACCAATCGGGGGGGCACATATGCATATCCCATCATAATTATTAATGGGTGAATGTCTCCACTTCCACAATGCAAGTTATTAATTTTGTCCACCACCAATGTAATCATCTCTCCAAACTGTGCTGGAGTGACATACGGGGGTCCTCTAGGGCTTGCTCTTTCAATTCGTAAACGCATTTCTTCTGATTCCGCCCGTGTAAAATCTGGGATAGATGTTAAGCTCACGTCGTATCCGGACATGATGAGGACAAGCATTCGGTGTCAATATTTTTCCAACGAGAATCCCACTTCCGATGACGCCTCCCTCCCTCTATATCATGGTCATAGAAAAATTGAAAGACCTCTTTCAAATAGAGCCGTAGGATTACCTTCTGCCAAACATCTGTCCTTGAACATTCTCATCCATGCCATATCAAAGAACCAAGGTGTGGGCACGCTTAGCAAATCCACGGTCCGAAGGAAGATTGGATCCTTGGAGATCTGGTAAAAATCCCTACTTGCAACTAAAGCACTACAGTAATCGCGAGTGATAGAACTGACTACCTTTTTTAGTATTTCGTTTTTCATCTCTGTGGGCAAACAGAAAACCCGTTTTGCCTAGCCATAGTAGATGAATGGGATTGTGTTTCAGAAACTCTTTGGGTCTACGTTAAATAACAATCCGCTTTATCATGTTTGGGGACAACGAGACGTCGTTTGAAGATATTGACCGCATTAACTCAAATGAGACGTCGTTTGAAGATATTGACCGCATCAAGTATTTCTGAGTAATACAACCACACCATAAACCCTAAATCCAAATATGGTTGTACTAAGTATTTCCGAGTAATACAATCACAACATAAAACCTAAATCCAAAGATGGTTGTACTAAGTATTTCCGAGTAATACAATCCCAACATATCTCTCCATTTTCCAAACTAAACCACGTTATCACCCAAGACACCTCCTCCAACATTTTCACTTCCACCATTTTCACCTCTAGCATTTTCACTTCCACCATTTTCACCTCCAGCATTTTCACTTCCAGCGTTTTCACATCCAGTAAAATAACTATAAATTTTTTAAGATTCCGGCCGACGCTTATTACTCGTCTTCATCCTTTTCGACTTCGGTTGACGCTCTCCAACGGATGGATGCCTTTTCTACTGTTTTCCCCCCTATATGGCTCGTAAACCGGGGGCAAAGCGCTCAATTTCTTAACATCATCGGGGACAACCCACTGTGACTTATGTGGAACAGGATAGATGGTTCTGTTATAAGCAAAAGCCCACTGCTCGGTTAAATAATACATCGAACACAAGTCCTCCACGTTTATATCCACTTCTTTGTTTGGCCGCTTCATATAAGCTTCTAATACGGCTAATGCATGGACACATGGATACTTGTCTATATCAGAAAGCTTGCACGAGCAAGTTTTATTTTTCAAGCTCACCATGTAATTAATCCCATCTAATCCAAGCACGCTGTATTCAATCTGAATCATGTTTAACTCGGTGACACCTAGCTTCTTAGATTCAGCACATCTACTGTGAAAAATAATTTCCACAAAGGCAACCAGTTTGCGTCCTGGTGGCGTTGAAGCAGCCTTGTTCCTATGCTTGTTAAACCATTCACACAACTTGTCAACAATCGCATCTATCATAGGTAATAATGGCAGTTTCCTTGCATCTATAAACACACTATTCAAGGACTCCACAACGTTACTAGTATCTAGATTGTACCTCTCTGCTGGAAAATAGCACTTGGCCCATTTTGATACTTCTACACGGCTTTCTAGATAATCTGTCATAGCAGGATACTTTAATGCCATCCTCGAATAATGATCAAGAAACTCAGCCTCTGTATACTGCTTTGCGCACTCTATGAATGTATATGCAACTATTTTTTATCCCTTGAAACTTGCATTTTCAAATTCTGTGAAAGATACCAGGTGCAATACCCATGTTTAGCTTCCGTGTACACCTCAGTTACTGCGTTAATGAGGCCTAAATTTCTGTCCGAAACAATAACCAACTCAGGACTATCGGGTATAACCGTTTTTAACTGCCTGAAAAACCACTCCCAACTGTCATTTTTTTCTGATTCAATAACTCCAAAAGCAATCGGATAATGGTGACGATTACCATCCTGACAAGCAGCTAAGACTAGCTGACAACCCATTCTGGCTTTCAAAAAAGTTGCATCAACAACTATCACTTTTCTCATAGCTACAAACCCCTCAAAGCAAGCTCCCAAAGCGACAAATAAGTACTTGAATCTTCCTTGTTCGTCCAGTAACACCTTGTGTGTTTGTACCTGGATTCACCTTCTGTAGCATGTACAAATACGAGTACAGATCTCTATAGCTGTCTGCAGGATAACCACGAACCAGAGATTCAGCTTGCTATACTCCTCTTCATGCGGTGGAGTATGACACACTCACAAAAGCGTTTTGTTTAACCAAAAGCATGACAGCGTGAGGAGTTGGTGTATCTAATCGACTTGGATACAACTCCTTAACAACAGATGCAACTAATCCTGGTGTTCCTTTCCTTTGCTTGCTGTTTGTACTCGCACTGGCCCGAGAACAAGTATGCATCTTCCGGTATACTGTTATAGAAAAACAAGGTGTATTCGCATCCTTCCAAGCTCGTAAATACCAATTACAACCTGTTTCACCGCATTTCACGATATATCGCCTCTAATCTGAATTCTTTATAGTCAGACCAAAACAATATTGATGTGAAGCTCTATACAATAAATCTATCAAATCTTGTTTACATGCAAATTGTTGCCCCACTCTCAGATTCATACCATCTTCCCATTCAAAATGTTGTGTTTTTACAACTTTAGGAGGGGGACCATAATCAAAATCAACCCCTCTGTATTCCTTCTCTTCGTTATCAAACTTGGCTTTAGCATCATCATCTACTACATCAGCATTTTCACGGGAAACATCATCACCATCTTTTCCATTTTCACGTGTAACATCATCACCATCTTCTCCATCACGTGTAACATCATCACCATCTTTCCCTCATCACCGTCAGCTTCCTCTATCAATGGGACATTCTCGTGATGTTGTTGTCCTGCTGAACAGTTGCCTGTGTAAATAGCAAGTACACCATTATTTGATCCACCATTACCTAAACGCAACCCCCCATAATTTATACCAACTGTACTTACCCTCTCAACTCTGGAAAATTCCTCTCCAACTTCAACACCTTTGATGACCTCTACATTAATAATACTTCTGCGTCCCTCTTTATCCAGTGAGGTCAGGAACACGGCTAGGTCGTCATCATTCGAAATATGAAACCGTTTCTGAGTTTGCACTAGTACCGGAATGTAACTCAGTATCAACTTACTCGAAGATTCAACAATCCCAACCTTCGTGCATATCTTTTCCACTAAATCAGAATAAGTAATCTCCTCCAAACTTGATGACTTAAACATTACACCATACATGGACGCTGAGGCTGAAACCCATTTATCCTCCGAAGTTGAATAATATCCCATGTAATCCAAAAATAGGTTCGTTATCATTATCACCTGAAAAAATAACACATAGACCATACTCAACCGCATAAGAAATGTTTCCAGTTGTTTCTAGAAATACACAGGTAATACCAATTGTTACTCTATCTCTCTCATTTAATTAGATCTAATTGTCAACTCGTGGAGAAACTTTAATCTAACTCGATTTACAGCATCTAAAACTCCAATCCAATAAATACCCAGTCGATTAGCAACCGATTACAATTTCCAAAGCATACCATTGCCTATTCAATAATCGAATTTAATCCCAATCGTGGTTCTAGGGCAACGACTTTCCAATAACGAAATGAAGAAGAATATCCAACGAAATGTCAATTACCTCGATTAAGCTTCAATGAGGGATGAGTGCAGTAAAATGTTAAGAAGGATTCGAGTTCTGAGAATTCGTTCTCTAGCGATCGCTGGGGTGAAGGGAGCGAGCTGGTCAAAAATGGTTTCTCTTTCAACCCGGTCCCCGACAAGAAGACAAAACCTGTTCTGATTGGCTAAATTTTTGGCGCCTAAAAAATGTCGACACGCTCCTGATTGGTTAAAATTTCAGAAGCTCGCTTCTGATTGGCTACTCATGCTTATATTTTATTGGACGAATTTTTGTTTCGCCGCTCTTGATTGGTTTATCTCTGCTTATTTATGAGCTGATTTTTTAATTTTCTCTTATAATTTACTTCTGCCAAAATTACAAAGATAAATTGGAGATTTCCAAGCTCATTAAAAGGTGAGGGATCCGCGAGGGAGACGCTAGAATAAATGATGAGACGAGAGAATAAATAATCTCTTAGAGGAGTGTTTCAGGTTATCTCTCCGATTACTTAACCGATGTTTTTATTAATTCGTATTAATATCATTTAAAAAATAATACAAGATAAACATCAGTTAAATAAAATGATGCTAACATAATTTCAATTTAAAAAACTAATACTTGTATATATTTTATTTTTGTTTTGAATAAATTCGATGCTACTCAAATTTTTTTAAGTCAAACCATTCTCACATAAAATATTATTAGTAAAAAACCATTATATTTACTAGCTTTCTTTTAATATAAAAAAACAAAACTGTGTAGAATTTTGCTTTGATAAGTATTTCATAAAACTCTTTTTAGGATTAGTTTATGTATATACATATATATATATATATATTTATGTAAATCATTTAAATAGATCGACATTGATAGTAAAATTATAACTTATAATAAGTATTAAGTGTTGACCAAAAAACTGAACTTACTAATTAAAAGCTTTATATACACATTCATTATTAAGAAAAAATTTCTTAGCTAGCCGGCAAAAAAGGAAAATCAGTTTGAATGTGTCAAATTTTCTTCATTAATAGTAGTTGATTTCTCATTTATTGTCTTGATTGTTTTAAGAAAATGATGATGCCATTTAAAGAAATATATATATTTGTTGCCAAATTATACCGATATTTCCACTTTTTTCTCACAATTAACTAAGTAAATTTTTTTTACATACTCACAATCCTCTTTCAACGCCCACAATCTTCTTCTTCCACCAACTAAGTAGATTTGAAATCGATGAATGATAATTCTCATTTCATCTTCTAAAACCTTTAGATGCATCTATTCTCTTATTTTATATCCTTTAATTTTTCAATTCTTCATGTATAGTTTTTTTCTATATTATTTTAATTTTTATGCTCACAAAATACTGTGATGGATTAGAAAAAAGGTAAAAATATGGTGAACTCATCGATACAGATACTAATTATTCAGAAGTCTGTGTTTTTTCTATACGGTTTGGAGAAACATTACATAAAAGGTACCCCAACACTTCTCTTATACTAATGGTTGGTCTAATGCAAACGAAAAATTATCAAGGATTTTTTCAGAGATTTAATAATTATGTTATTATATTCTAAATTTTGTAGAATGAAGATGTCTTCGACCATGATCATATCTCAGAGAATATTTACTCATGGAGAACTTACAGTCCTTATTGATATTATATGGAACCTGAAAGGAGGTTAGGATCTATAATAATTGATTGTTTGATCTTTAGATCTTATGCTTTAAAAAGTTTAGTTAAATTTTATTAAATCATGATATGATTTATCAAAATAAATATATTTTAATGTCTATTAGAGTTTTGATTAAAGCATGATTTGTTTGACTTGACTTACGATCTCTAGATTAATATAAGGTAGCACATAAAGATGTTGCTAGGGTTTATATTATCGTTGCTAGAGTTTATATTATGTAAAATTATTAGTTTCCATATATGCCCATAATTTACCATCATCGTTCATCTAAGTAATATTATAATCAGATTAAATTCTTATTAGGAAATCATAATGTTTTTGAATCATGTCAATCAGATTATATTATCATAGAAGTTTATTTTCACTTATTGGATATCACCGAATAGGGTTCCTCACCAAATACTACTTAAAATTATTAATTAGATTATCAATTAAACCATGTTAGTCAAAATTATTATTAGTGCATGTTTTAAAGTTAGCATGATTAATTGTTTTTCAAATCTTAATTTCCAAATGAACTTTGAACATCATAATTGGATGTAATTGATTATCATTCTTCTATGAAATTTGATCATTTATTTTCTTAAGATTTTAGTAAACTATGAATCTTACAAACCTTGAATTTAAGGCTCTTGATATCACTGATTATAATTATTTCGCATATGCATTAAATGCTAAATTTCATCTAAGGCATCTCAAACTCACCTCTATTTTTGACTCTAAATGCTATTTAAAAAAAAAAATCCTCTCCAACTCACCTTTATTTCCAACTCTAAAATAATATTTCTTTATTTTTTCTCTATATTTGGAGGAATTCTATTTTTTACTCTAAAATAGAGCTGAACTTATTTATTTTTAAATTGGTTCTTTAAGTTTTAAATCTTTTTGTTTATGACTAAAACAAACAATATAAATGATATAAATTCAAATTTAACAATAAAACTTAACAAAGTTAATTACAACATCTAAGGATTTTGACACAAATTTAAAAAACACAACTACAAAAATAAACCAAATGTATAAGTTATAAGATATATGTCATATTGTGTGTTTAATATTTGATACTGCATATAAAATAAAATAAATATTCCATTACTCTGCATCTATCGAGTTAGATAAATATTTATGTATGATTAATCCATCTTAAAACATGTATACATGAAAATATAACTTTGTGTAAATATAATTTATTGATAAAATATTTTATTTGAGGCACAAAACATACTTTTAGTCATACAATTGGTTGTAAATTCTTAGAAACAACAACATTGACGA